GCCTGAAACACCACCACATCTTACCACATCTTCCCTGCAACAGTGTTCACCTCTATATTCTACTCAACAACATTCCCATACCTATCTGTGCCACACAGACCCAAAGCATTTTTCATCTAATCGTTCCTTTCTCTTTGCCTCCCCTTAATCAAATTGACAGAAACTGAAGCACATTCCAAAGGCATCAAGCAGAGCTGCTAAAATGAAAAGCAGACAGTGGAGAAGCATGTTTTTGCACTAACCTTTCATGTCTAAAGACATGGATTCAAATATAAATCAAACACTAAAGCTTGGTAGTCACATCCAAAATCCCAGGTGGATATGCATTCTAGTCATAAAACTCTGACAATATGACAGGCTAAAAAACAGAGCAGATGGGAACAATGGGTAAATTTGTTCAAGTAAGGCCCACAACCACTAAAAGCTTGGGTCATGGACAATGAAAGTTTAATAAATGCTCCAGAAGTCTGGTTTTTTATTATTTTCACAAATGAATTCAAACGGAAAGACACCGTATTACTAAAAATTAATTAGGGAAACTCAGAAATGGGAAAAAGAAGAAAATGGGGCAGGGGGTGGGAGGGTGATAGTTTATTTAAATATATTCATTTCTTTCTGTTCCCTACTAGAAGTCTAAAAAATTCAAGTTACAAAAAATAAGAATTAAATTAAGGAAAGTGGTTTTGCTTCCTTTTTTCATACTCATTTTTCCTTAAAGCAAAATTAGGCATGTTCACAAAATCATGTAAAATCATGAGAAAAGGTTAATTCCGCTAAACTCATTCTGAAAGGACTGGACTTTTAAAAATTGTCAAACTTGAAAAGCAGGTTTTTAAACTTCAGCTATTCATACTGTAGTCGGAATTCAACTGTAATAGGTGAGCAATAAATCAGAAGAGGGTTAAGTCCGGCTTGCAGTGGAAGTTCTTTGCTCAATAATTATCTAACACTGTCTTTTCACAGGCCATTAAATAGTTAATCTTCATTTCACAGTCCTGTTGTCCATTATCCCTAGATAACCAAGACTGAAGTAGTTCTATAAGTGACTAAACTTTCTTATACTGCAGTTTGAAGACTGTTACTATGCTACTTATTTAGGCTCATGGATACCATGCATAGTAAAAATGTTTTGCTATTATTAAGATTTATGTATATCTTTTTGGTCTTAAGTCAACTGTCTTCTAAAAAATTAGAAACAATCATGGTGAATTCACTGGATGGAAAATAAAAGTGCAACAAGAAATAAACCATACTTAACATTCATAAATTTGAATACTAATTTCTTTTCTTAAAATGGTAGCGTGAGAAATACAGACATTACACCTACCATCTCTGTTCCTTCTGTACGAAAATGCAAACAGGGAGCATACAAATACTTTCCCATGTTTAAAAGTTTGTTATAACTAACACAATTTCAAAATGTTTTGAGAAAGAGAGGGACAATCTAACCGAACAATTTTTTACAATGTGTAATCAGAAAAAGAGAGAGTGAAAGACAGCAGGCACTACTGTGGCACAACTCTAAGAACAATTTAAGCATCTAAGCATAATTTTAAGAATGTAAGTATAATAATAATAAATTTAGTCAAAATAATTCTAAGTTAAGGATATAATTTTAAGAATGTAAGTACCAAAGTATACTGCCTCTGGTAAGTTAGTAAATTAACTAAATTAATTTACTTCACTTACTCTCTTAGTCCCTAGTAAGAGAGTAAATTAAGACCATAGAAGTATCAAAATATATTTTCTCAAGTATAAGGCAAGACCATGTTTTAGGTGAGGAAGAGTTGTTTTTCAGAAACTCTGTCTAAAAATGTAAGAAGCAAGCACTAATCAAACAACAAAATTAAGAGCAAAGCCCCATTATTCACATTAGGCAAGCCCTATGTAACACTTTACCCTAGGCATACATATTGCAGAAAAAAAGGAATGACCTGAAAATCATACATTCAAAGTTGCAAATTAATAACCACGATTTTATTCTCTACTAAGATAATCACTATGAAACCCAGGTAGAGGCCGGGCGCGGTGGCTCAAGCCTGTAATCCCAGCACTTTGGGAGGCCGAGACGGGCGGATCACGAGGTCAGGAGATCGAGACCATCCTGGCTAATATGGTGAAACCCCGTCTCTACTAAAAAAAAAAATACAAAAAACTAGCCGGGCGAGGTGGTGGGCGCCTGTAGTCCCAGCTACTCGGGAGGCTGAGGCAGGAGAATGGCGTAAACCCGGGAGGCGGAGCTTGCAGTGAGCTGAGATCCGGCCACTGCACTCCAGCCTGGGCGACAAAAGCAAGACTCCGTCTCAAAAAAAAAAAAAAAAAAAAGAAAAAAGAAACCCAGGTAGATAATCTCAATTATTTCCTATATCAGTACTTTTAGAATCAATTAAATATAAAGAGCTACATGAGACCATAAAAGTCATTCGTCCATTCTAAACATCTGATTTTGCAAACTTAAAAATTATTTTCCCCAAGTTAGTAGAATGGCCAGAACTCTGACTCACAGTATACTGCTCTTCCCACTATAATGTGTTTCCAAGTGCCCAACCTTCCAATTTTGTCAAATCTTAAGACATCATTTTAAAAACACATTTCTCTTCGATAGCAGCTGGGATAGATAACAGTTCTGAAACTTCAAAAACCACAAGCAACTGCTACATCAAGAAGAAGGGACTATCGAGTTAGCCCAATACGTCAAGAAATAAAAAGAGCTTCCTTCAAAGAGGGAGCAATTCTTTAACAATGCTACAAACAGGACACCTTTTTCCCCTTTAAAAAAAGTAATTACTCATCCTGATGGTTTCTGTTTAGTCTTTGGGGAACACAAGTTAATACTAATGCAAGCTGTCACAGCACAGCAAGCTCAGATGTCTCTACTCCATTCAGAAGTTAAAAGTACAGTTCTATTAGGGATGAAAGGATGTGGAAAGAGCTAGGCTCCAATTATTATCAGGAGGACTATAAGCTGCTCACTCTCATTAATTTTTATTCCCATTTTACAAACCAATAAAAACTTACCTGAAAACTGCTAACCATTCTGAACAATACAAACAGCACATAAATTTTAATAACTACCTCTTGAAAAAGCAGAATCCACTTGGAATACTCTAATATAAAGAATTTAGACTGGTGATGATTGTTACCAATTAACAAACACATTAAGAAGACTTCTTTCCTACACCTCACTGAGCTCTGCACATGCTTAGTCATCATTTTTAGAGTTGCTAATGTGCACAAATAACTAAAAGAAAAATACGAACAAGTATTAAGGGTTACTGTTTCAATCATTAAAAAGGTGATCATTATTAAGTCACATCTTTTTTCTATAAAATTCAAAAGATTAAAATGAGAAATCTATACTATTAACGTTGTGCTACATTAAAAAACCAGAAGTCCAACTGGGACTAATTCCAACGATTATACTCCATACATGAAGCCTGAAAAATGTCAGTTGTTACAAAAATTATTTTTTAAACCTTCCATCAAAAATAATTAGGGAAAAAAATTAGAAACCTGTGAACAGAAGCGTAAATAATGTGTTTAACAGAGAAACAATGTAGTTACATTGTGCAACTATAAAGCTTTATATTTCTTGACTCTGGCCATTCCCCCTCAGACTTAGAATTTCACCTACAATATGAATCATAATGGCTACTCTTAAAAGACAATTTGAGAGCTTTTTTAAAATATTATTTTTTATTCTTTTTTAATTCAACCTTTTTCATATTATAGTGATCCACAGGCTATAAATTAATTGATTCTAATAAAATTTAGATTAACTATTCCAGGTTTGTAAAAGGGACAGAGAGTAGCTCAAATGAAAGATCATCACTAAGATAAAGTCTTAAAGGCAGACATATGAAAAGCTTGAGACCTTTCCTACATCCCATGTTAGAATGCATACAAAATCTCAGAATGAGTAGAAGAAACGAACATTAAATTTTATTTAATTATGGGAGAAGTAGACAATAGTATATTGGTCAATACAGTTATCAGGTTGCTACGACATCATTCTTCCTTAAAAGAGCAATACAAAAAGACAAACTGAACTTGACAAAAATTCTATGTTGAAGCACAAAGCCTAGCCAACTCAAGTACTTATTCTTGAAGATTTTTTCTGTATATGAGTAAAGGCAACAAGCTGTTAAAAGCTTAGCATCAAAACTTTCTCCAGACATTAAAGAGGCACTCCTACTAATAAGACTGCAAAAGAAAAGTATATGTTATAATTACAAGAAAGTGTCCTAACCAGATAACTGCAAAAGGATCCTTAAACAGTATCTAACACACTGCTTTGTGAAAGGAGGTTCACAAAATAAATGACAGTGTTGCAATTTAGGCACAGAATAGAGTTTAGTTTTTATATTTCTAAGTGAAAACACTTGATTAAAACAACTTTGAAAGAAAAAGGTAGTAACTTCATCTGCGTACAAAGAAACTTGATACCAGTTAATTGTATAAGTCATCTTCACTTCCAGATGGCATAAGCTTCTCTAGCATGTTACACTTACAACTTTAAGGCTATGTCACCAGAAAAAGTGGGTGGTCATCTTGAAAATGTCACCAACGCTCCACATTTTCAAACCTGACAGATTTCCGGACACAAGATCACGTATTATATGATTCCATTTATATGAAATTTCCATAACAGGCAAACCCATAGAGATAGTAAGTAGATTAGTAGTTGCCTGGAACTAACTGCAGGGAGGAGGAAATGGGAGTGACTGTTAATGGTGCACGGTTTCTTTCAGGGGTGATGAAAATATACTAAAATTATATAGTGGTGATGATTACACAAGTCTGTAAATTTACTAAACCATCAGACTGTATGCTTTCCAAGGGTGAATTTTATGGTATGTGAATTATATTTCAATAAAACAATTATTTAAACGTTAGATTTAGATTTTTTAAAAATCTGACAGAATTCATAATGTCAAGGTATATATACTACAATAGACATCAGTCAGAGCTTTGCACCTGTTCCAAATGACTTTTTTTACCTTGGCAAGGCGGCTCATCTGATCTTCTGAGAGAGTGCTACTTGTTCTGCCAGGAGTTTTTGTGGGTTCTGATCCATCTGCTTCTACATTAGGCCAGACTTTCAAGTCATGCATCCCTTGGCGAAACATGCTAGGGAAAAAGACAATGTTCAAGGTAGAAGTAAATTAATACAGTTCGTTACAGGAAATTTTAGATTCCTAAAAATAAACAGAATTCTACACATGGAAATGTATATCTCCACTGCCAAGCTTTAAGCCCCCAGTGGAATGTAAAGCAATTAACCAAGCAACTAAAATCCATGTCACACTGCTTTGTACATGCCATTCTTTTTTCCTCCAAGCAGTCAGAACTATGACAGAGAATTCTACACATAGAGTGGAAGGAGAAGGATGAGAAATGAGCACACACATTTCATCACTTTGGTGAAGATCTAAGGAATAACAGAGATTAAACTTCTAACCAATTGAAGAATGTCACATTTACAATGACTAAAATCAAAATTTAAATAATTACATAACTTTTCTTTAAATGACATTACAGTAGACTATATAGTCAAACTGCTTTGAATCACAGCTGTGCTATTACCCACATAACCCTAGGGTAAACTACTTAAACCTCCCTGTACCTCAGTTTCCTCTTTTATAAAATAGGATAAAAGGACTTGTATCCCACAAGGTTACTGGAAAAATTAAATAAATCAGTACAAGTAAAAAGTCATTAGAACAGTGACTGGCCTACGGTAAGTATTCAATAAATGTTAGCTATTACTAGTCTTTTTGCTGTACAAATTGATTTTTCTCCTTTCTTTTCCATAAAAGGCATGTTCTAAAAGTGAATACAATAGTAGACTCACACAAAAACATTTCCCATGTCTATAAATCAAAATTTAGCATATAGCCAGAATTCAGCCTAAGCTTGGTTATCCCGCTTCAAAGTGAAAGAATATATAACCTTTGTCCTGTTTTTGTCAAAAAGCTACCAAGGAGATATAAAGATAAAACAAACTCATAAGAGTTTTAGACAACTATGCGTTTTAATTATGCTGCTGCCAAGTTTCCATGTTTCTTTCTGATGGGGAGGTTAAAGATGTTCTTCTGTTAATGTGTTTTCTTTTTAAAAAAAATATTTTTGAACAAGAATTTTCAAACATAAAGTCTACTCAAACAGCATCTACTCAAAGCTCAATAAGTTATTTCTTACTCTTAGAAATAAAAAGACTATAGAAATTGCAACAGAAAGAAAAAAACTCTAAGTGTGTGTAGATGAACAGGCACATCTAAAGCATTTCATACACTTTCACATTTAATACTTTTTTAAAAAAACAAGGTACAGGCTGGGCACAGTGGCTCACACCTGTAATTTCAGCACTTTAAGAGGCTGAGGCAGGCAGACCACTTGAGCTCAAGAGTTTGAGACCAGCCTGGGCAACATGGCGAAACCCCGTCTCTCTAAAAAAAAAAAAAAAAAAAAATTAAAATTAGCTGGGTGCAGTGGTACATGCCTGTAGTTTCTGGGGGGCTGAGGCAGGAGAATTGCTTGAGCCTGGGAGGACGAGGCTATAGTGAACCATGTTTGCACCACTATACCCCTGCCTGGGTGAGAAAGTGACACTCCATCTCCAAATTAAAAAATAAAATAAAATAAACTGTCTCCTTAACTGCTAGTGGTTTACATAAATTTTTTCAAATCATTATTATAATGTTCTGGCTAATAAAAAATTCCTTCATAGATTTTCCTAAGGTAATAAAGATTTTCACTAAACATTATATAATGTGTATAAGTAATGATGCCATAAACATTTAGATTGGGAACTATAAAAGACAGTTACAAACTCATGAGCACAATAAGATCAAAGACCGTATCTGTTAAAAGGTCCTAAAGTTGGCAATAAACCAGGTAATTCTAGTAACTGTATTTGCAAAAGCTTACCTTATGGGCCCATACAAAATGCATCAGCTGGCTGTGATGAATCAAAATTCTCAATATTTATTTATCATGTTAAACATCAAAAGAAAGTTACAGTACAAAAAACACACATACACACGCCTCTTATAAAGTTAATTTTCATTCTCTTTCAACTGAGATACAGATTCAACATTAAGCAGTCCTGCTTAGAGCAGTCTCTAAGGAACTATGTACAGTGAGATAATATCACTTTAAATAAATATCCTTAAATGTACCTTCAGAAATAGCAGAAGGCTTCCCTTCCTTCTCTCTACCTTCCCAACCCCCAGTGAATACTTTGGCTGGCTGAACTTAACTGAATCAAAAATAAGCACATTTGGCAAGAAGTCAGTTTACTAAATGATTTAGGTGCCTTGGGATGGAGCTAGAGAAGATATTTAAGGATAGGGGACGTGGAGGGTATGGGTGATGCCAAGTGACTCAAATGAGCAAGTGAACGTATTACTTTCTTTTGACACTAATGGAACTTTGCAGAGAGTTACACAGCCTCCAGGTGGCAAGGCAGAAGATGCTCAGAGCATCGTGTCCACTTGGGAAATTAAGCCAAACAGGCAAGACAGAAGAAACAGCACAGCAGGATCTCCTTCTGACTCCAGCAGAGGCCCCAGCAACAGCTGCTGTTGATATTCCAGCTTGCAGTGCCAAGCCACTACAGCACCAACTGCCTTGACTTCCAAGATTCACATTTAGAAAAAACAACTGCAAGAGAAATCCGCAGCTTGCATGTGGTTCTTTGCCAGTTCAACCTAACAATCAATCCATTCTTTAGCTACTTTGAACTTTCACAAGCTAGGCTTTCAAATTAAGGATGATACATTATTCTAGCCTTATCCCTAACAAATCAGTCTTTCAATTATTTATTAGACTATTCTCCAAGAAGTTCTGCCTCACACTGACTCACGTAAACAAAACAGATATTAGCCAACAGCAAGAGCTGATAGTCACAAGATTACCAATACTACAATACTAGATGTCTTGAGGAGCAATTTAACAGTATTAAGTACACATGAGACGCCTTTAGGGGACAAGGCGAGGGACAGCTGGAGTTATTTCACTGCATAAGAAACATCTGAGGAAACGATGGTTTAAGGCAGTATTTCCCTAAGTTACGAGAATGGTAGTGGCACATGGCATGGTTTTTGAGGACAGGTGGAAGAAAATCTGCACGTGCTTCCTGCTGAGACCACCCAGAATATTCATATTGCCCTGTCTCCCTGGATGGCAGCACCATGCAGGGAAGTAGCTGTGAGCCAGCAGCACAAGATGTCTGCACTCTGCCGTAGCACCAGGAACATCCTGAACATCATCTTTCACAAATCAAAGCTGCACGAGAAGACCTGTAGCTGCTGAGGACTAGGGAATGCCTGGCTTTTCTTCAATGCGAGGCAGCTCACCCACAGGGCAAGGCTGCAGGACAGAGAGGAAAAAAAACAAAAAGTTGTTTTAATTTCATAGAGTTTCTTAGAATTCCTTCTTCTGAGGTGAAGGTCAGTACAAGCGCCAGCACAGGGGGAATACAAGTTGGTGATTTAGTCTTTTTTCACTCCACCCCCTCAAAATATCTTAGACCTGTATAAAAATCTTACGTTATGTTAGTTATGTTTGGATAACTGCCTACAATTATATAGGAGTTGAACTGATTAAAAATGAAAATGATGTAAAGCCTGATCTTCACCTTAAGCTGAAAGTGAGCTGAATATCCCGTGCATATCTGACTATGGAAAACAGAACCATTCTAATTAAAGGACCTTTTTTGCAGATACTGTATGCATATTTTGCAAATCAAATGAATTCCATATCATGTGTATTCACTAGGGATTCTTTTGCTTCAATTTCTAAAATTTAATAGCACAGTTATTGTCATTATATTTAGTCTTACTATTACCCACTGATGTTAAATAATACCTGTTTTCCATGTACAACAGGGATATCGTGTTTTTCTTTTAAAATAAGTGGAAGTTTAAAAAAAGTAAGTTGAGTTAAATAAAAATATCAAGTCAAGAACAATAGGCCAGGTGCGGTGGCTCACGCTTGTAATTCCAGCACTTTGGGAGGGCGAGGCAGGCGGATCACCTGAGGTCAGGAGTTTAAGACCAGCCTGGCCAACATGGTGTAACCCTACCTCTACCAAAAATACAAAAATGAGCTGGGCGTGGTGGCAGGTGCCTGTAATCCCAGCTACTCAGGAGGCTGAAGAAGGAGAATCGCTTGAACCCAGGAGGCGGAGATTGCAGTGAGCTGAGATCGTACCACAGCAGGGCAACAGAGTGAGAATCCATCTCAAAAAAAAAGGATAATATACTTAGTAAAGAGATATGAATGGAATTCTAAAAGTGATAAGTAAATGACTCAAGTTGGAGAAATCAAGCTTTAAGTGAGATAATTTCACGCAATCAGTGCTTCTCTCTAACAGGTTTCATTCATATCAGGCATCTGATGTGTTCGCGACATGAAGGAGTAGGATGACCTATTTTCCAGTTAGAGTTAAGAGAAAACAGATGACTTTCCAAGATTCAAAGTCTTATTTTAGTTAATGGCAGAAAACAAATTTAAGTAACCACTCACTTATTGCTACTGCTCCCTTTATAGAAATCCTTGGGGTTTAATGACTTTTTTAAAGTAGAACAAGTGCTACTGATTTATCTTTTAAGCACGCTGGCAGCTTGGTTTGGATGGGAGGTAAAGGAATTTTCCTTTCACTGGGATATACACAGAATTACAAATAAAGTGGGCTCCAAGGGAAGGAGTAAAGAAGAGGAACACATGAATGTATGTATAAGTCACATTAATAAACTACTATCACAAAGGTCAGTTCAGTGCTTCTCAAAATGTGGTCCATAGGCTCCCTTTCACAGAATCACTCAGGAAGATTGTTTAAAACGCTGATTCTTGGGCCCTACCACAGACACAATGAGTTAGTGAGAACCCAGGAAGATGCTTTTCTCATAGGCTTCCCAGATGATTCTTAAACACAGGTTGATTACTACTGATTTAGTGTAGTACCTTAAAAAAAAGTGCCAGAAGCCAAACAAAACAGTACCAAAAATCAATCTGAGAGTTTGTTTAGATGTAGGCAGGTCATTTCACTGCATCTGTGGACATTTCAATTGTCCCACAATTATATCCTACTCAGAAAATCCCATGAAACTAGATCCTAAAGTCCTCTAAAATGCACGAGTACTAACAGGTGTTTTTATGAGAGAACTTCCTATTGATATTCCAGAAGGTAAACCACTTGTGATGAATCTGGGAGGAAAAACTAAGAGGAACATCTAGTTATTTCTCAAAAACATTTAGCCACTAAAAAGAGCTGTACATTTTTCTTTTTATTCTCTGTTGCAAACAAGCCCCTCCCTAGTAACAAAAAATAAGGGGTAAATACTCTGTAAAAGAAATAATACTGATTTAGTAATATGTCCATTCTGCTGTAACATGCTATTTTATCAAGAAGTATATTTTAAAACTGAAAGTTACAATGTTTCAGACTATATTGAAATTATTTTTCCTGTGTGGATTTTAATAACAAATATCTCTTTAATAGCCACATTAAACTAAAATACCTAGGTATTAGTAAGCAACCAAGCTATTCCAAATGGGATTACATCTAGATTTCATGGATGAGCTCAGAAGCCTTTCCGACACACTCTATTTCTGGATACAAAAGTTTAATATTATAAAGGCATCAATTCTCTCTTTAATTAACATATATAATTCAGTAAGATTTTCTAACAAAATAACAGTGAGTTTAATTGAGAAAATAATATTAAAATTTATCTGCCAAAACAAACCTGGAAATATTTTAAAAGAAAGACTAGGCCGGGCGCGGTGGCTCACGCCTGTAATCCCAGCACTTTGGGACGCCGAGGCGGGCGGATCACAAGGTCAGGAGATCGAGACCACGGTGAAACCCCGTCTCTACTAAAAATACAAAAAATTAGCCGGGCGCGGTTCTGGGCGCCTGTAGTCCCAGCTACTCGGGAGGCTGAGGCAGGAGAATGGCGTGAACCCGGGAGGCGGAGCTTGCAGTGAGCCGAGATCGCGCCACTGCACTCCAGCCTGGGCATCAGAGCGAGACTCCGTCTCAAAAAAAAAAAAAAAAAAAAAAAAAAAAAAGAAAGACTAATAAGAATTACCCCTATCTAATATTTAAACATTTTATAATACTATCCTAACTGACAGAATAGCCCAGGAATGATACCTAATATTTATTGAGATCATTTTAATATGTATTCAATACATAAATATATGATATAATATTTATCAGGACCATTAAATGTATTTAGTAATGTAATAATCATAAACTACTTAATGAGGAAGATACTATTGTTCTTTCATTTAACATATGAAGACATTGAGGCATAAGATTAAGTAATTTGCCCAAGGATACACAGATACTAAGCAAAGAAGCCAAGATTTGAAGCTAGATAATCTACAACTTGCTTTCCTAACCACTATAGCACTATACACTAAAATGCCTCTCTTAGACTTCAACACAAGATGAATTGAGTATATAAGGATGCTATTTTAAAATAGCTGGATAAGATGGCTTATTTAATAAGCAGTGTAGGGACAAATATTCAAACCATTTGTTTTGGTTTTCTCTAAAAAGCTATTCTCACTATATCCTTCCTTTCACAATAGTAATTTTAGATAAATCAAAGATTTTAATGTAAAGGAATAAAAGCATAACAGAAGAAAGCATTTTAAAGAACCTTAAATGGGAACTTTCTAAAACATTAAATTCACAATCCAAAAACTAAAAACTGATAGCTTCAAGATAACAATTTAAAATACATGAAGAGCAAACAAATACATACTAAGTCAAAAGAACAAGCCAAACCAGAAAAGCAGTATTTGTAACATAACCCACAACGGGCTAATTTCATTCATCTACAAAGACTCCTTATATATCAATAAGAAAACGACAACTCAAAAAAAAAAAAAAAAGCAAAGAATTTTATGGTATGTGAATTATATCTCAATTTCTAAAAAGGACAAAGTACCTCGAAAAGCAATTCATGGAAACATAAACACAAATAGTCAATAAACACTCCAAAATATGATCTTCCTCATCCTTAATGACGTAAAAATTAAATAACATTTTTTAACTTTAAAGTAGACAAAAATTAAGACATTTGTAATATCCAGACAGATTAAGATCTATACCATTTCACACTGAAAGGAACCAGAACTTCTTTCAGAGATTTCAGGTCTGGAGCAAAAAATTATCAAATGATCCTGGAAAAACTTGTCTACCACAAAGCAAAGAAGCTACCAATCACTACTAGTGTACTGTCCAAAGGACATGGGGTCTACTTGAAGGAGCTCCTACTGACCAAAAATGGGATTTTTTGAGCATTATAAAGAGTAAAGACAGCAATGGACTGAAACATATAAAAAACAGAATGTACAAAAGCCATCAATCATCACCTTTACAAGTTACTAGGGCACAAACTCATTAGTCTTGAAATTGATAAAGGGAAAGAAAATTAAACATTTATCTGTCTTTCCTATATGAACTAACTAAATACTTGATGAAGGACCAAGTTCTTTAGTGAAAAATTCCAATTAGTAAATGCAGAATAATAATAGAAAGTCACAAATCCTCTAAAGATAGACTGAGTCCTCTGTCCCTGGAGAAAAAGGATATAGCGAAAATATCCTTTGGAACTGTGGTTGTTTTTTTTTTTTTTTTTACAACAAACATTTAGTATTTGTACATGTTTCAAAAACTGAATTATCTTTTCTACCACAATCATTACCATCATTAGCAAATGAATGCTTTTTAATCCTGTTTTTCATCCTTTCTATCAATATTATAAAAAAGCAGATAAACCCTATAACAAAGCAGTTATAGTATACGTCAAAGTCACTTTTCCCTAAAAGCAAGGTTCTATTTCCCAATGACTTCTATTTTCTAGCAAAAATCACACTACCAATCACCAACAGTAGAGCAATATAAATTGATTTCTTTATCTATCTGTATATCCTATAGGAAATACATGCTAAATTCAGTATAAGGAATGATCAAATCATATGTACCTAACTAGTTTACACTGGAGCCCGGGCATAAACTATTAAAGCCTTCCCTCATTCTGAAAAAGAAAAGGGTCAGAAAGCAGCTACACTCCTACAGATGAGACCAACAGATTGCTTACCCGTATTTTCCAAAGAGCGAAACCGTTGTTCCTCCTACAGGCACTGCTTTTCCAGGTCCATACACATCCCATATGGTGAGCGCCACTTGGGCATTCCTGGGCAGGTCAGGGTATTTTACTGGTAGTTTCAGCCATTCGTTCCAGCTATGGAAATAAAGTTAACATAAATCAGAAATATATATATGCATGTGTGTGTATATATGTGTGTGTATATATGTACGTAGATGAATAAACGTGTGTGTGTATATGTATATAGATAAACCCTCTATATATTTATGTAAATTTTCTTATACATTTAAACCTCATACTGTATTCGATAATTTCAACCCTCTTCAAGAGAAGCTGGCTTTTAAACTCCAAAAGAATACTGTGCCAACATTATACAAACTATTCCCTAGCAGACACATAGAATTCTATTTCTGTTTACTCAAAATTATTCTGTTCATTCAAAGTTATTATCTAAGGGACATATCCTAGTCTATGTTAAATACATCTGTATTGATAAAATATTTAACAAAATTTCCAAAAACTTAAACAACAAATCATTTATATATGCCATAGAAATTAGGGATGGCTATCAATTTCAAGAAAAAGAGTTATTAAATCCTTTTCTTCTACGAAATACTTTTTTAAAAAAATCACGTGCTTAAGAAAGCCAGTATCTACTATACATAGGCTCAAACAACTAAATGAAATTATTTAATTACTAGCCACACGGTAGGGCAGGCTAAAAAGAAAAACACTAAGCAGTGCCATCTTTTGCCAATGAATAAACCACACACCAGCTAAAGACAACAATAAGCAATTTCTTTTTGGAAAATATTGTGATATTTCTTATTCTGTCCTTTAATGACAACGAGACAATACCAATGACCAACTAATCATTAGTCTCAAACCTTTTGCTATTCAACACCAGGCAACAACACCTCTTTCAATCAAAGCAACTGCACTTAATCTGTTTTATATACTAGCCTTCTGCAGAAGAATTCTTTTGAAAAAAAAAAAAAAATGATGCTATTTTGGAAGGCCGAGGTGGGCAGATCACTTGAAGTCAGGAGTTCGAGACCAGCTTGGCCAACATGGTAAAACCCCCGTCTCTACTAAAAATACAAAAAAAAATTAGCCAGGCGTGTTGGCGCGCCTGCAGTCCCAGCTACTTGGGAGCCTGAGGCAGGAGAATCGCTTGAACCCAGGGGGCAGAGATTGCAGTGAGCCAAGATCATGCCACTGCACTCCAGCCTGGCGACAGAGTGAGACTCCATGTCAAAAAAAAAAAAAATCCTTCAGCTAAAAACTTTGAAAACTGCTCCAGATATTCTAGAAGTTATAGAAAAATCTAGTCAGACACCAAAAAGGTATATATTTTGGACACCACTTTGTTTTCTTCCTCTTCATGCATCATCCCTATCCCATCTGCTAACCCTCATTAACCTTAAGAATACACTCACCTGCCAACAATCAAAACATCACAAGATTGCAGAGCCTAAATCTGGATGGTCCAATCCCCACCAAGTACCCCCATCACCGCATACCACTGTGCTAGCACTCGAATCTGATTAAAATACTTCTGTATCCTAACTTTGTAATTTTTGAATTAGATGGTATTAATATGTCTCTCTACAGCCATTTTCAAAACCTTTATGAGACAATGTGAAATATAAGTGTTCTTAAAAATGTAAACTACTTCCCTGAAGAATAATATTCACATAAGAAAAACTTAGAAATCTGCAGTACATACACCTAAAGATGAGAATTTACCTTAAGTGTAATTAAAGAAAGTACAAGTGTCCCTCATGGGATCTGTTAGTGTAGGACAAAACAGGACATGCTATGATAGACTTGAATAAATTTTGAATGAGTTCCTCATTATTAGAACTCTCACAACCCACTATCAGAAAGTCAGAAATCAAACAGACTTAAATCTCATACTGGCCCTAAAACACAATCTGAACTAAGGAATGCAAAAATTTGGACAGCAAGAGATCCCTTTATGACCTAATTTATTCTTTCCAAGGTTTATACAGTATCTTTTATAAGCAAATACTTAACAAAGAATAAGGACTATTTAAAGTTTTTACCTCCATTCATTTTAGGATGGCAATTTTTGTTTTGATGAACTACCAATAAATTCAACTTTTGAACGCTAAAGAGCCGGATGTATAAAATGTGCAAATGTTTTCTCTTAGTCTTCTAAAGACTATTTTTTTTTTACTTTATTTTATTTTATTTTTATTTTTGAGACAGAGCCTCGCTCTGTTGCCCAGGCTGGAGTGTAGTTGCTCAATCTCGGCTCACTGCAACCTCTGCCTCCTGGGTTCCAGCGATTCTCCTGCCTCAGCCTCCCAAGTAGCCGGGATTACGGGTGCCTACCACCATGCCCAGCTAATTTTTGTATTTTTAGTAGAGAGGGGGTTTTACCATGTTGGCCAGGCTGGTCTTGAACACCTGACCTCAGGTGATCCACCCAGACAGTATTTTTTTTAAAAGTCTATTCTCATGGTATTTTATCAAAAATAAGGTGTTTTTCTAAATCTATTGTCTACATAGCTTAGACATTTTAATTTCAAAGTAGTTTTAAATAATTTTAAGTACTTTCCTTATTAAGTACTTTCACAATTTAAAAATTACAAATTTTTAAAATTCAAACTTTTAGAGATCAAACATGGGAGTTTTCACATTCTTGCAAATATATAATATAAAAATTAATGCAGAGAAGAGTTGGCAAATGGGAGGACGAGGAGAAAACCTTTAACCTTTTAATTGAGAATTTGCTTTTGCTGTAATCTCCTTTTTTGTCAAGTCATGCAACAAAACCCACCATACATTTTTCCTCACCAAAATGTTTTTGACTTTCTAGACCTAAATTTGTTTTAACTCTTTTGTGAGTAATAGGTGACCTCAAAAATCTAATTAAAGCTTTGAGCTCTGTCCTTGAAAAAATACAGAAGACACAAAATTCTGCATACACCTTCAGGGGTTTGAAGACTTCCTGATTCCAGTTTAAGAATCTCTGATACAATTAAGGAATTCGGCTCCATTGTTTTAAATGTGATGGTGATGATACTATAGTTATGCTTTAAAAACAGATATACAGAAATACTTACAGTTAAGTTGTTATAACGTTTGAGATTTGTTTCAAAATGGTGAGAATACAAGATCGGCCATGAGTTAACGGTAGGTATATAACAGAAACGTAGGCGTTCACTGTATTATTCCATGTTCATAGGTTTAAAATTTCCCAGAATAAGAAGTATTAAGTATATAGAGACATATTTTTTACGTGTGTGTGTATATCTACATACACACATCTCTCTCTGTCTCTCTCTCTCTCTCTCTATATATATATACACACACAGATATATCAGATATATATAGAAATACAGATAGACTAGATAGACAGGCAGACAGATCTCTCTCCACAAAAGACTACTGAAGAAACTACACCATTAATATATTTGGTTTTGACATAGCCAGATCACCAGAGTTCAGGCTTCTGCTCTCTGAAAACCCTTTCCAGCCACACTTGGTGACGCCTGGGACACACAGGGTTGAACCCTCTATGGCACAGTCTGGCTGTCCATGTGGTCACATCCTGTCTCCCAAGGAATACGCTTTCCTTAAAAGCATACAGCCTGTGTATCCTGCAGTGAGCCTACCAGAGTGCTGAATAACACTCACTCATTAAACATCAGAACTGCACTATATAGTCTATCAAATAAGAAGTGTCAAGAAGTCATATTAAAGATCCACAATACTCTTTTGAAAAAACAGGAACTTCATGTTCATCATATTTACCCTGCATCTTGACAATGTTTTGCTAATGTACCATGCTGAATAAACCATGAATCTAAATAAATTAGTTTCATATGTAAAATAATAATAAAAATTTTAACTGAACAGATGGCAACAGAGCTATCTCTAAAGATCTGAGCTCCAAACATCAGGTTGGACAATATTTCAGACTATCCAGAAGTATTTATGCGTTCAAGAGCAGAAGATGGTAAAATGCCACAGATGTGTTTGGTCATGTAAATCAATCAAGTGCTTATCAAAATGTCGATATGCTAAATACAAACATAAATCCATTTCCATTTCAACTGCAGTTATAATACTGATATGCATAGTACTTTATCTGAGTATGTTTCTACTTCAAATGATTTGATCAATGCCTATAGGCATTAAGAAATTCTCCTATAATTCTACTAAATTATACTGGCAGCATCCATAAAGAAAGGTAAGAACAGTCTGGAACATACCATAAGCCAGAAAAAAACTTACTTCCATCTTGTACTAAATGCTTTGTAGGATGTTCTCACTGGCAAGGCCAAAGGCTTCCCTTCTGCAAAAACCTGACAAGTAACATAAAGATCCGAGCATGTCTCTTGGTATAGTCCTGAAAACTTCAACATTGGGTCTTCTAGGACAGCTTTATAACTCTTTTGTTCTCTCTTCCCTTCCAAGCTTCCTCTGAAAGCACAAGAGCAACATTATGTTTTAGACCTGAATTTTTTAAACATGTACATATATGCATAAGAACTAAGCATGTACATATATGCTTTAAGCATGTATACATATGCATAAGTATAAAAAGAGTTTACCTTTGTGTTAAGGTATGCTACTTAAACAACATTTTCCTGTATATGCAATTAATGTCATTTTTATATATGGTAAGGGTTTCTTAAAATCCTAACATACCTAATATCAGTCCTATCTTCATCAACACATTTCTCTATTTTATACTTCTGAATTTTAAACCCTGCCACCAACCCTTGATCTACCCTCCAGAAGTCACCAGCTTTCTAGACCTTGGTTTCATTTTCTTCATCTCAAGTTGACCACATATTCATCTGTTCTTTCAGGAAACATTTACTATCGTGGGCATAGAAGTCCAGAAGAAAGAAAAGATAAACAATACAGTATTACAATAAAATATTAAGTCATTGCTTCTGGGGAGAAAAATTTACTTTTAACTGCATGTTTTTATTCTACTCTTTCCATTTTTTTTTTTTTTTTTTTTTTTTTTTTTACTATGCATATGCACTGTCTGATCATTTCTGTAAAAAATAGTGGTGTAAGTCATAAAAGATACGGACAGGATACTATCAGAGGGAGGAACATTTTTTTTTTTTTTTTTTTTTTGAGACGGAGTCTCACTCTGTCCCCCTTGCTGGAGTGCAGTGGCCGGATCTCAGCTCACTGCAAGCTCCGCCTCCCGGGTTCAGGCCATTCTCCTGCCTCAGCCTCCCGAGTAGCTGGGACTACAGGCGCCCGCCACCTCGCCCGGCTAGTTTTTTTGTATTTTTTTTTTTAGTAGAGACGGGGTTTCACTGTGTTAGCCAGGATGGTCTCGATCTCCTGACCTCGTGATGGGAGGAACATTTTTTAGACATCAAGATTACATCAGATACTGTGCCAGAATTTTATATGTTCTTTCTTACATAATTTTCACCATATTCTCATTTTATAAATGAGGAAACAGAGACTTATAAACTAAACTCATTATCCAAAGTCACAAAGTAACAGAGCTGAGAATAAACACTAGGGCAGGGAGGCCAAAGCCAATATTCTTCCCATTACAGCAAGATAAATCAGAGTCTCAAGAGTACTTAGGCTGGCGTGGGGAAGGGACTTAGGACCCCAGATAGATGTCTGAAATGATCCTGAACAATGCATAAGAGTTGGAGCAAAAGATGCAGAACGTCATCTCAAAGGGAAAGGCAACAGAGCGATACCCTGCCTCAAAAAAAAAAAAAAGGATCCGCTTTTCGGTTTTTCTTTATTTTTAATGTTCAAACATTTCAAAAAATGCATTCGTATATTCAAGAAATACTGAACATCAAGCTGAAGGAAATCCCTTTATCAATACTGATCCTGTATAAACTACTAGTGGTGTATGCTATGGAAAATACTTTAAATGGCTGTATAAAGTATCATACAAAGGTACAACGTGGTTGTTGACATACTACTTTTACCACCATCACCACAAACTAAAAAGTAAAGGATTTTGTCAGCGAATAAGGGACTTCTGAAAATAAAATGAAACGATCATTCAAAGGTACATCTGACAACTGAGAAAATTTATTTATCACTTACTGCAGGCCTTTGACCAACACATATTTGTTGAATATTAACTGAACATACACAAGAAATGTTTATTAATTATGGATGATGCTGTGGTCAATAATTTGTGATAGCTTTGACAACACTTCTATATGACCACCTTAAAAGAGATATAATTTCCAACTCTGTTTTGTCCGTCCCTCGTCATTATACCAGTTCCATTATCCTCATCTCAAGATACCACGCTCCTGACCTTTACTTCAGCCGTGGTGCCCCAAAGTTTTCCTGCAACGACTCTTTCCTCCTATCTTCTTGGTACCCTTGCAACTGGCACCCTCATCTTTGACTTATTCCCAACTTCCCTGACTAAACACTGCCATACTACCCAAAGATTCACCCTAGGCCTCTATCACCTCCCGTGCTGCTAATATACCATGTGCTCATCTTATTCTCGACTATCGCATCTGATTGTGCCTACCTCTCCATAATTTCTGAAGCCTTCATTCCACCCTACAAGCCCCGTTCCAAAATAAAGATCGTCCTCTTACTTACGAAGAGGCTCGATTTCTTAATTTACAATAAAATAGTAAAAACTTTAAAGACTGTAAAATACAGTGGAACTTAAGGGCTATTCCTACCGCTGTGCTTCTCATAGAGACCACGTATTAAATCCTTTTCCAACAGAGCCCCTCTCCACGATCCACTCTCTGGCGCCTCCCTGGCTACAGCCCTCCCAGCCGCCCCCGGTCCGCGCCTTGAGACGAGTCACATACTTTCTCCCTCTCACTCCCAAAAAGCCCCTACCCCTACGCCCCTACGCCCCAGCAATCCCACTCCCTGTCCCGAGGATTCTCTTACATCTTAAGCTGGACGTTGATATCTAGGTCACAACTGTAGATGTAGTGAAACTTCTCTGCTTCCCCCATCGCAACGTCGGCGAGGGTACGACCTATAGCGGAAAAATTACAGGAACGACAACAGAAATGAACCAGCTGAGTCCCACAACAGAGGAACTTCCGGTTCCGCCCTCGCCAGCACGCCTCCAGTCCCAGCCTGGAGCGAGTTCCGACGCGGCGGAACTCCCGGCCGAAACAACTCTTCTGCGCATGTGCACAGGCGCCCACCATCTTGCTTAAGGGTAAATGTATACGGGAAACGGCTTATCCGATTACATTCCAGTTTTCCTGTCTTGACAGCACTTTTTTTTTAAAGAAAAAGAGACGCTATCATTTGAGCTTGAGCTGTTCCTAAAACAATACAAAAGAAAATTCAATTCAAAAAGAATTACAACAGCTTTCACTGGCTGCCGTCTAAACAGGTTACAAGCACAAAAATTGGAATTTTGCCAAGTTTAAATTCCAGTGGCCTTCCCCGAAATTGTAGCACTAATTTGCTATCGCAAGCAAGGATTTTCTCTTTCTGCTCTAAACAATAGGGAAAGGACTAAATAGAGAACAAATAAATCTGAGTTTCATGTTTGGTGTTGTCAATATTAATGCTACTTTGGACGTAATACTTGCGTGCATGTTTAAACTGGGAATATTCAAATTCAATGTAGTTTCAAGCCCTAACCCAAGTCAGAACCTAGAGGCTTCCTGTAATAACTCTAGAACACAGATCTCTAAACCCTGTGAGCTCCTATAATGTTTATTTTTATAATTATTATAATCTAAAATTGTAATATTCACTTCCAATTAGATTGAAAACTCTTGGAAGGTAAGACTAGTGTGCCATTTACTTCTGTGTCTTGCCCCCCTCACTGTCTAATACATTGCTGAGTTTAATACTTCCTACTTATTGGTTATTACTGATGATATTGAATGAAAGTCTCCATTTTCTATGCCTTTATTTCTTTTTTCTTTCTTTCTTTCCTTTTTTTTTTTTTTTCTTTTTGAGATGGAGTTTTGCTATTGTCGCCCAGGCTGGCTCGATTTCGGCAAACTGCAACCTCCACCTCCCAGGTTCAAGTGATTCTCCTGCATCAGCCTTCCAAGTAGCTGGGATTACAGGCACCCGCCAGCCAGTCCGGCTAATTTTTGTATTTTTAGTAGAAACGAGTTTTCACCTTGTTGGCCAGTCTAGTCTCAAACTCCTGATCTCCGATGATCTGCCTGCCTCGACCTCCCAAATTACTGTCTATGTGTTTATTTCTAAGTGCTGCATTTTAAGACGGACATCACTAGAGTATGTGCAAATTAGCGTAATTAGAATGTTGAAAGATTAGAAAAAAAAATATTTCAAAGAAAGGGTGAAAGGTGTGGAGCTGTTTAACCTGGAAAGGGGAAAAAAATACCTAATGCACAATGTTTTACACAAAATAAGTTCTCAAAAATATTTATGGAAGCAAGAAAAGGATTTGAGTAGAATAAAGAAAAACATGATAGTCATCCTCCTGTAACTTAAAGTTTAAACAAAAAGAGAGCACCTTTGATTTGTTCCTAAGAATAACTGCCACCAATGGTTGGAACTTACAGGAAACATAATTTCAACAAACAATACAAATTGAACTTTCTAATTATCAGAGCCATTCAACAGTAACACTGTTGTCACAAGTGCTCTGTTTAGGGCATAACTCCAGCAATGAGTGTGAGATTTGATGTGAAACCTCAATCTTGAATAAAATATTGACTATGTGTAAAGGACAAAATTATCTGATCCCAGTGGTGAATAAATTACTTTCACTATATAATGATATTTAATGTATAAACCTAAGATAATATTATATACATATGCAACCAAACAAGTTTACAAATATAAAAACTTCAAATTAGCAATCTTAACATAATAGATAGTGGGCTTTTTACAGAAACTTTATTGCTTATAAAATGATTATGGAATATAGTGTTGACTACTCTTACAGGACTGATTCTTTGAAATTCAGCACATCTATACTGCTGTATTCCACATGATAATTCATTTTTCTAGCCCCTTTTTTCTATTCAAATAACTATGAACTCTTCTTTTGCATAACCACCATGATGTATTCTGGCTTTATCTGGGCTACAACACATCTTTTTAAGCCTGACTTTGTCCTTTTCTCATTGTCTCATAACAAAGTAATACTGATTGTTTCCAAAACGGTTGCAAACACAACACAGATAAAAGCACGAAAATCAAATGTCAGTACTTATTTACAAGATACTCATTCACAGAACCCAAGACAGATTTAACTTTTTAAAGATTATCAAGAGAAAAAAATAACATTAAAAATGTATTATGGAGGGATCTCAGAAAACTTGACTGTAATTGTATTAAATATGTTAATACATCAGGGAAAACTAATATGCCAATAAGGAACAAGATTTTGGTAATTCATGGAAGCATGGAAAGAGTTATTATAGAAACCAAAACTGTCAATGCCTTTTGTACCATAAGTCAGAGAAGTGTTGGTTGGTAGATGTGAGTACCAGAATTCAATTAACAAGGCCATCTGTATAAGAGAAAAGGAAGCCTTAGGCAGCTTATTTTGAAAGGAGAGGAATGATTTTTTTCCTTCCCATGTGATTTTCACAAATCGTAAATATAACATAACACTCATAATTATGGGATACAATTTGCATTGCAAGAGTCCACGGAGGCCTGTCTCCAGAAAAATAACTTACAGAAATAGGTGTTTTCCTGGTGTGGTAGGCTATTCCAATGATTATTATGTGATCCCATATTTAATTTTCCTTTGGAGTTGCAGTTTTGGCTTTGTGCTTCTTTTGCCATCTTGTTTCAATTTCTATTTTAATTATTATAGTAACCAGTTTTAATGATGGCTTAGAAATGTGTTGATTGCGCTCCATTTGTTAAATTTTGTCCTTCTTTCTCTCTTTCTTTTTCTTTCTCTTTCTTTCTTTCTTTCTTTTCTTTTTTTTCTTTCTTTCTTTCTCTTGAATCAAAGTTTTGCTCTGTTGCCCAGGCTGGAGTGCAGTGGTGCAATCACAGCTTACTGCAACCTCAACCTCCTGGGCTCAAGCAATCCTCCCACCTTAACCTCCTGAACAGCTGGGATTACAGGTATGCACCACCGTGCCTGGCTACTTTTTTAATTTTTTTGTAGAGATAGGGTCTAACTATGTTGCCCCAGCTGATCTCGAATTTCTGGGCCCAAGCATTCCTCCCTCCTCAACTTCCCAAAGTTTTTAGTGTTACAGACGTGAGCCACCATGCCCAACTTCCATTTCTTCAGTTGCCCAGGACTGACATAATGATAATCAGGTTTATTTTTGCCAGTTTCTATGACCCAATTTATTCTCTTTGCTTGGAATTTTTTTTAATGCACTTACAGCTTTACAAGCAATCGTCTGTTACTGAGCTCCCATCAAGAATAAATTAGTATGATACTGTGAGATTAAATATATCTCATAATTCCTTTTTTTCTAATTAAAAAACGCCTTTGTAAGTTTTCTAATAACTGTGTTTTAGAACTCAATCACGTGATAGAACAGACAAGAGTGCTAAGGCACTTGAAAAATCCTAACTCATAATTCAAAAGTCTTGGCCATGTCTCAGCTGACAATGTGAAAAAAGACGGGCTTAATGAATATCCATGAATGATCCTAATGCAGGAACCCCCAAGTCCTAGGCGGGGGGTCCATTCATAAAGGTAATTCATATAGCTGCAAAAGGGAAAGAATAACAGCATAAGTTATTCTGAAAAATAATAAAATTGTATTTGCATATGTGTTCCTTTGTAATACCTCTGTTATATAACAACGAAGCTCCCCAGTCTTGGGCATTTCTTTATAACAGTGTGGAAATGGACTAATAATCTGAGTTTCTTATTGTGTAAGCAATAATTATGTTTACAAATTAAGCCACTTTCATTTTTAAAAAATCTTTCTGTTACATACAGCTGAAAGCATATAATTCCTAATACGATGTTAAAAGGCTTTTCATGTTCTGGCTCATGTGGCATTGTTCAAGCTCTCTAGACTTAGTTTAATCTGAATAATATCCTCTCTCTTATGCTATATTCAGATTGTGTCTCTATATTCACCTATGGTGGTATAGTTGATTCTTATTCCTTGTGGTAGGTATATTCTGTAAAGTCACAGTAAACACTAAATTAGCAAATACTGAACTGCCGCTAGGGGGATATAGGATTATGTTCCTGTCAGTCTCTGCTAATAACATTTTCATTAAATAATAAATACATAAACTTGTTTTCTTTGTCTTCATCTAAAGGCATTTTATTTAATATATATTGGTGATTTATTAACATTGAACTCATGCCCAACAGCACCATAACTCATGCGTGAATAAGCCTGTATAACACAGTTTTTCTCCATAAGGCACATCACAGCTTCCTTGCACTTAGGAACACCAGAGAGCACTTCTATCACTGCATTTAGAGGATATTTTAAACGAAATCACCCACGAAAAGCATAGAAATGCAATATATATGGCTGGGCACAGTGGCTCACACCTGTAATCACAACACTTTGGGAGGCCAAGGCGGGCAGATCATGAGGTCAGGAGATCGAGACGATCCTGGCTAACAACATGAAACCCCGTCTCTACTAAAAATACAAAAAATTAGCCGGACGTGGTGGAGGGCGCCTGTAGTCCCAGCTACTCGGGAGGTTAAGGCAGGAGAATGGCGTGAACCCTGGAGGCAGAGCTTGCAGTGAGCTGAGATTACACAACTGCACTCCAGCCTGGGTGGCAGAGTAAGACTCCGTCTCAAAAAAATTAAAAAGAAAAAAAGAAATGCAAATATATAGCATTGAATAAACCTCCTGAAATATACTTATTTATAGTATGAGAGCTGAAACAAGAAGGCAGAATCTCACCTTGTTTGACCTCAGCTGGGAACATGCACATCAGACTTAAATTTTTCGCTCTGCCTCTGTGCACATGTCCACAAATGGCCGCAAGTATTGATTTTGGGGTCACAAATAGATTTTAGTGAACAGTTGAATTCACAGTTATGGAATCTGTGAATACTGAGAATCGACTATATTTATTCTTAGAGAGAAACGAAGAGCTCTCTAGACCAGTGTGCTTATGATTCACTAGGGAATCTGACTGAAAT